TATCCCCGGCAAGAGGGCGCAGAAATGAGAGAAAGCCTCTGGGTAGCCTTGCTGGCCTTCCTTGCCCCCGGGCCTCCTGCTACATGGCTGTGGTGCGATTGGAGTGGGGAAGGGGGCCCTAAGAGAAGGGGGTCAAGGGGTTGGGAAACCTTTGAAGAGCTTTTTGCTGTCATCCAGGGAGGAGCTGATAAAAACAGAGGCCTGGACTGAACGGTGGCAATAAACATTCATTCACTCATAGAATAAATAGAGCAGCCATAGCATATCCAGGGAGCAATTAAATTAATTTTTGAAAAGAATGTATAGTATAATTAGGTATTAATTTAAAGATCACTTCTTTATTTACTTCTTATTTATTTTAGTTCACATAAGGCACATGAGCTCACCAGAGAGATATATAGAGAAAGTGAGAAATCCCCTTAGGGCATGGCCACACCACAATCCCTTCTCCATTCTCCTCTCGGGATTTTGGGCATACACACACATGCGCCCTTAGTGATTTTCACTGCCAAGTCCGGCACTCAAACCGTGTGGTCGGCCTATGACACCCAGTTGCCTTAACCACCAGGCCACTGGTTGGCCCACTTATACATATTTTTAGAAGACAGGGGTCCAGCAGGTGGCATAGTGGTTAAGGCGCTGAACTCCCCCATATCTGTCTATGGTTCTAGTCCCTGACCCAGTGGCTTGAAACTCATGTGTGCCTAAAATCTTGAGAGAAGAATGAAGGACAAGGGATCCGATGTGGCCATACCCACTGGGGAGTGATTTCTCACTTTCACCCTCTGTCTCCAGGGAGCTCATGCACCCAATGGCAAAAACAAAACAAAACAAGACTGAAGGCGAATTCATCAAATGCTTGTGGTGACTGAGCAAGCGCTTCCTGGTTGGGGGATTCCGGCCCCTGGTCTGAGTACCAGGACACCTGATTTCTAGGCCCAGCTTTTCCCTGCCTTGCGGTGTGACTGGAGAAGCCCTTCCCCTCTGTTTCTCCATCTGTGAAATGAGAGTGTCGGACCAGGAACAGCTCTGATGTTACGTGAGGATATTCAGGACCCCTAGTTCTGGACAGTTTCGGTGCCTGGCTGGGGCTGCCCACTCCAGACGCAGGCCTGGCAGCCATGGTCTCTTCTGGCTGCCCCACGGAGGGGAAGAAGCGGCCACCACAGCCTGACTAGCTATCAGGCCCTGGTCTCAAATTAGAATCACGCCTCTCATCTCTGTGCTGCTTGAATCATGAGAAGCCACCTCCGCCCTCAGCTGCAGCCTTGTGACCAGGAATGGGGGACAAGGGGCGGAGTGGCTGCCTACACAGCCCTGGAGCTGCCAGCACTCAGCGCTCAGCACTTGTGTACTGACTTAGAATCAGCTCTGGCCCTGGATCCTCAGTCACGGGGAGGAGGGAGCTGACCAGGTGCGGAGGGGTGAGTGTTGGGTGCCCATGTCTCTGTGTGCCAACCGCAGTGCTGCTCTGCAGGAGTAAGCCATTCATTCTGCATAGCACCCCTGCAGGGAAATGTGTTTTGGGCATATCTTGGAATAGGCCCTAGGTAGAAGTGGGGGGCCATCTTGATTCTTAATAAATTCAAATCAGCTACATCTTGGGTAGGATTCTGTACCTCGTTGAGTTGGTGAGTGGCCCCTCTGCACAGGACTGTCACAGGATCCATTAAGTTATGTGTGGGACTGTGCCAGCTGCCCCCTCAGCCCCGCTGCCTCCCATCGACACTGCCCTGGAAGTTCAAGTCTTAGCCCCCCGCAGCCCCGCTTTCCCAGTTTGTGAACAGAGTGACAGTCCCGAGTTGCCCTCTAACTTCCTAGAGCAGCGGTGAGGTATGGAGCAGAGAGCATGACTCGCTTTCAGCACTGACAGGCTAGGTACAGGCCCACTGCACCTGCTTTTCAAGGGAGAAAACTCCGGGGGCCAGCAGGTGGCGTAGTGGTTAAGGGGCTGGACTCCCACAGAGCTGACTGCGGCTAGAGTCCCAGACCCGGAAGCTTGAAACTCACGCCAGGTGCGCGTGCATGCCCAAAATCCCAGGAGGAGAATGGAGGAGATGGGAGTGCTCCGTGGTCATGCCCCGCGGGGGTGGTGGGGGGGTGGGGTGATTTCTCACTTTCTGTCTCTGTTTCTCTGGTGAGTTCACATGCCCTATAGCAAAAATCTCTCTCCTTTAAAAAAAAAGAAAAGAGAGAGAGAGAGAAAAAAAAAAAACTGCAGTCCTTGAATGTTGAGGTTTCCTGTCTGAGCTTGTGCTGTCAGGCCCACTCAGCTCAAGGAGCTGACGATAGTGAAGAGAAGCCTGCTGTCGCCTCCCTCGCCTGGCCTCCCCACCTCACTCTCAGGCACCGACTGTCAGGGCGTCTACACTGTGACAGTGACGTGAAAGTAGGTCTCAGGACCAGCCACGTCTCACTTCACACTAGGCTCTAGAGCTCCTTGTCCCCTGTGTCCCTCTGTCTCCCAGCTCTTGGGGGCCGAGAGTGCTAGTACTGGCTCTGCAGGTGAGGTGATTCCCCCAGGTCATAGGCTTCCCCGGGGCTAACAGCCACCACGCCACCTGCCTGGGCAGGCTTTTGTTATTGTGGAGTCTTCTAAAGCATGCCCTGGCCTGCCAGGCCCCTTCCTCAAGGGACTTCTTACTTTCACAGTTAAGCATTTATTTTAATGAGAATTAGAAAAGAATATAGCTAACCTCTTTTGAGGCCTGGCCTAAGCAAGAATTGAAGGACTAAGAGACAGGCAGTTTAAAATCGGACCAATGAAAGTGCACAGGAAGGACTGCAGATAGTAACCTATTGCACCTGCTCAGCAAGTAAGCAGAGTATTTTTTCACAAAGGGAGGCGATTTCTACGTGATGAACGCCAGGTGCAAAGCAATGCAGTTGGTGTGCACGTTGGTTGGAATTGACAGGAAACTGAACCACTCAAATGTGGGAAATGCTGTTTTCCCATTTAAGGTTCCAAACAAGCCTGAGAGTAGGTTTGATCGCTTGTTTAGAGACTGAACCGGCCCGAGAGGTGAAGCGAGTTGCTCAAGTTCATCCTTGAGGGAGTGAGGAGCTCAGCTATAACCGTGGGGCGGCAGGCCCCGAGGAAGGGGTTCACCTCAGGAAGGTGGCCGAGCCCGGGAGGAGGAGCCCTGGCCCACACTTGAGTCTGCTCCCTGCCAGCGAGCTGGCCAGGCAGGGACTTGTCCTCGGACAGGAACAGTTGATTCAGATCCGCTGACCTCATGCCTGTAGCAAGACAGATAGATGGGGTGGGGCAGGGGTGACAGTGAGGAGGAGGAGCGGGCATAGACAGGAGACAGGTGGAGGCCTGCCGGGCTGGGATTTTGAATATGTAGGAGGAACTAAACTCACACCTCGAGGGCCTTGGAACGCGGCACAGCCTGGCTGGTGACAGGCGAAGAAAACTGTGGCTCAAGGAACAACACATCACACCCACACAGAGCTGCAGACATTCCTCACCGCGACCCCAGCACGTGCTGTGAGTCAGGGTCACTTGGGGCCTTCCTACTCGGACGGTGTCACAGATCGTTTCCCCTGGTGCCCCTTGGAAGTCCCTGGGTGTGTGCTTCACCTTTGGAACGATCGGTCGCCGAGCCGTCTCTCTGCCTTTGTTCCTTCGTGACCCATAAAGTTAACAGTTGTGTTTCGTGGCTGTGCTCGCCAGAGTCGTAAACACCAGTGCAAATAAAACTGGAAAACAAGTCATGGAACACACGTGAGCAAGCCCAGTGCAAAGTGTGGATGTGGATGAGCGAAGAAGCATAAGGAAGGGGGCGGAAGGTGCATGAGGTGACCTCGGCCTCCAGGAACCGGGACCCCCCAAGGAGGAAGAGGGCAGCCACCAGCGGTTTTCAGTGCCAGTGAAAGAGGACTGACCTCGGGACAGTGGTCACAGTGCAGTGCCTCTCTGTTCCTAGAGGCTCGAGCCCACCTTTGGATGGTCAAGGAGGGTTTCTTCTTCCCCGGAACGGGTGCCAACCCAGGGCAAGTTGATCCCCCTGTGGTGTGACGCTTATCGTGCAAAGTACAAGCACATTCCCATCCCTTCAAACTGGACTCTCCCAACAGCCTTGAGCCAGGTGGGGCGGGGTGTTCAGTTCCCCTAGACAGAAGAGGAAACAGGCTCAGGGAAGCAAGGGAAGCTGCCCAAGTCGGCAGACTAAGGTAATTGAGCATAGCATCCAGACCCCTGAAGAGGAGGCCAAGCTAAAGATTAGCCTGGGGCTGGGGCCAGCCAGTCATATGGTGGTTAAGGTGGCTGGATCTCACATGGCCAGTAGTATGGTTCGAGTCCCAGATCCTGTGCTTTGAAAAACACACTAGGCATGTGTGTGTGTGTCCAAAATTCTGAGAGGAAAATGAAAGTGAACCGATTGGGGTTGTGGCCATTCCCCTGTGGGGTGCTTTCTCACTTTCCCTCTCTCTGTCTCTCTCCAGTGAGCATACATGCCCTATGGCAAATTTTAAAAAAAATGGGTTAGCAGGTGATGTGGTGGTTAAGGTGTTGGATTCCCATGTGGAAACATGGCCAACTGCAGTTCAAGTCCCAGACCTGGTAACTTGCTTTCCACTTTCTCTCTCTCTTTCTCTCTGGCGATTGCAAAATTTAAATAGTAATAACAAATACAATTAAATAAATAATTATCTTAAAACTTAATAATAAAAAGTAAAAAGATTGTGGGACAAGCAGATGGCATAATGGTTACATCACTGGACACCCACGCAATCAACTGTGGTTCAAATCCTGGACCTGGTGGCCTAAAACATGCTGGGCATATGTGTATGCATGCCTAAAATTCTGAGAGGAGAATGGAGGAGAAGGAATTGCGGTATGGCCATCTCCCCTGAAGGGGTGATTTCTCACTTTCTGTCTCTTTGGCAAGTGCACATGCCCTAAAGCAAAAATCTCTCTCAAAAAAAAAAAAAAATTTTTTTTTTTTTAAGTAAAAAGATTGGCCTCGCTCGACATGGCGTGGGGTTGGGGTGAGAGCAGGGGTGGGTGGTTGCCTCTGGGATCTGTAGAAAGGACAAATGAGAGAAGGAAAGAGTAAGACCTGGTCTCTGCTCCAGAAAGCAGCTTCGGAGTGAGCTCGGTGAATTCACATGAGCAGGGAAGGACCGTGGTGCGAGGGCCACACTTCGTGCCGGGGTGGAGGAGGGCGGAGGTGGGCTTACAGCTGGAGAGCGAGAAAGACTTGTGATACTCTTAAAAAGAAACTTCAAAACCTTCGATGCCAGGAACTGGCTTTCTGTTCAGAGATTACTCAGCTCTCTTTTATTAACTTTTAAGAAACATAGGCAACGTTTTTTTTTGTTTTTTTTTTTTTTTTAAAGTTGACTCTATCTTTTTTAATTCCTAGTAGCTAAGATAGGGAGGGAACAGCCACTATCATTCACCCGGTCTCCGGCGTGCTGTGAAACAGCTCAGAGTCGTCTAGACTGGCCCCGCGGATCTCTCGCCCACCCTCGGGGGTGAGAGTCACCACAGGGGAAGTCCAGGGACCACGCATTCACGGAACTAGCTCACAGCCTCTTAGCAAAGAAGCGGCAGAGCTACGATTGACCCAGGCAGTTTGCTCCGGGCTTGCTTTTTAAGCCCAAGGCTGCTTCCGGTTACCCTGGCTCCTCTGTCCAGTCAGTCCTCGGTTTCTCTGGGCTCTGCATCCATGGATTCAATCACCCGTGCATCAAAAATGTTTGTTCCCTCATCGCTGACGCGTGCTGTGTAATTAGGCCTCTGGTTGCGTCTGAACGGAACACGTGCAGGCTTTTTCCTGTCATCGTTCCCTCCACAACATGGTGTAACCACTGCTTACGCAGCATGTGCCCTGCACTCGGTATTACAAGTAACCTAGAGGTGATTTAGAGGACACGGGAGGACAGGAGGATGGGTGCAGGTGTATGCAAATACTACGCCATTTCTTTTATCTTTTTTATTTGCCTAGAGAGAAAGGGAGAGGGAGGAGGTAGCCTCTGTAGGAAATGGCGGAGCTGCAGTCCCTTCCCCTCCATTTCTTCATCACATCGGGGTCGGGGCACACATGTGCCTGGGACATGGAACTGGGACTCAGACTGTGTGGTCATCATGGGGGGCCCAGCTCCCTTAACCACAGGCCACAGGCTGGCCTCTGCCATCTCAGATGTCTGTAGACCCTTGGGGATTCCCTAGGGCCGGCCGTACTAAGCACGTGTGCTGGACCTTTGAGCTTCTATTGCTGCTGATCTCCATAAGAGCCCTCTTACTTTGAGATTGCTTTTATTTTGATATAAGTGCTTTTTCTTCTGATTACAGAAATTTTTTTTAAAGTATATTTTAAAAATTTTTACAAGTATAGAAAAACACAGGAAAACTAAAATCCTGTGTGATCTCACAACCTAGAACTAAGCACTGTTGGACCAGCCCCTGATGTGGTGGTTAAGGTGCTGGATCCCACATGGCCAACTGCACGGTCGAGTCCTGGACACGGCGGCTTGAAAAACACAACAGGTGCATGTGAGTGTGTGCACGACATCCAGAGAGGAGAATGGAGGAAAAGGGGTGGTGGCTTGAGCATTTCTGGGGGGTGAGGGGGATTTCTCACTTTCCTTCTCTCTCTCCCTGGCAAACACACATGCCTTACAGCAAATTAAGAAAGAAAGAAAGAAAAAGAGAGAGAGAGAGAGAGAAAGAAAGAGAAAAGAAAGAAAAGCACTAAGCATTGTTAGTATTTGAGAACTGTCTTTCCAGCCTTTCCTCCCATCAGCGTGCTTCGTGCTCAGATGCCACCCCACTGGCCAACGCTATGGCTTTGTTGAGCTATCACTGACTGGGCTGGACATACCGTGTGTGCAGTGAGACAGCTCTGACGTGCGTAATGCCTGTGAAACACCCTGGCAATGAAGAGACTGCACTGCCGTCCCTCAAGCCCCTGTAGTGTCCCGCCCTGCCCCCACTCCCCTCCCAGGGCCGATGTCCTGGAACTCAGGTGATGTCCAGCCAGGATTACCAGACTGGGGAGCAGGCGCCTGGCTGGGTGCTTACCTGAGTTCTGTCTCCTGGCCAGGGTGTGCTTCAGGGAGCACAAACAATAGCCCTTCTGCAGGCCAAGGGGTGCATCTGGTTTTGCCAGCCTCTTTCTGCAGCTTGGTCAGCCTCCCAGGAGCCTGCTCCCCTCTACCTCAGCCCTGCCGCCATCCATCACACACCCCCGCCTCCTCAGATCTGAACCTTCCAGCTTCTCCTCTCAGACGTGGTAGCCGTGTCCCTGCACAGCACGTGCACGGGCACATCTGCAGTTCTCCTCGCCCTCCCGGGTGGCGTGGGAGCTGCGGTGGGGACTGCAAACAGCCTGTGTGGGCGGCAGGCTCCTTGCAGCACCTACACTTGCTTTCTGTGGCTTTCCATGGGCTTCTTTCTGCAGCTCATTACTCATGCCCTTTGCTGAGCAGGATTTTCTGAGCGTAATTGAATCTCTCATTGCAACCACAGTGGCTGGTTCAGGAGGCAGGTG